TATCAACGCAGAAGCCGATGTTTTGACAGGAAATCCAAGTTTACATACAATTGTCTCAGAAATGCTTGAAGTTGGCGGCGATTTACGTGAAGAAGCTAGAATGCTTTGCCTTGAAACAATGCTCAGAGGAAATGTCCCAGATTTTCCAAAATTTGTCCAACAAATTTGCTTCAATCATGGAATTCAGCAAGTTCCATACCTAATGAGACTTTGTGATTGCGGAATGCTTGACAAAGCGCTTGTTAAATGGTCCAATTTCGTAAAACCATTTAGATTATATAATCCAGACTTTGACAAGAACGGCGATGAAGCAGCCATGAGCTACTTAGGATACGCTCCTCTTTCAATAAGATACGTCGAAAGCATCGTTAAAAAAGATTTCCCATCTGTTCAAAAAGTAATCGGAGATTCCTTCGAAACATACCAAAGCGGAACACCACAAGAGAACGGAACATACATTGTTTTCTTTGTTGGCGGCTGCACGCACTCCGAACTTAACTCATTAAGAAGACTCGCGATCAAAGGACCGGCAAAGTTCTCTGTTTGCACAACAAACATGTTCTCCTCCAGAGAATTCTTCGAGTCCATCGGATTCGCAATTCCAGGATGGAAACCAATTCACTTATAAAATTTATATTAACAACAAAAAGAGAAATGTTTTCTTATACTAAAAATATTTCAGTTTTTATCTTCTCTCTCATTCAATATGGTTTTCTTCTTAAATAAAAGACTTTGTACATATTTTATAAAATATCTCATTAAAAATCTTTATATTTCATTGAAAAGATAACCTTTTAAATAAACTTATATGATTACTTTATAACGAAAGCTTTAATCAAAATATTTTTTCAATATTTTTCATGTCAACACGATTTGTCTAAGTTATGAGTTTATTTTCAAATTTTACATCATTAGATCTTAATGGTTTTCACATTGTTCGAACCTAATTTAAAAATGAAATTCAATTACAATTAATATACACTTTATACTAACAAACAAATGAAATAGAATTAACCAGGAAAGATCAAAAATATATCTATGAATTGTTTGGCATTTTCAAATTTTTTTTCTTGTTATTAAACAATTTGACTTGATTGTAACGTCGATGCTAAGTAGATATTATCAATTAGGAGGCCAAAGGCAAATATACCTCCAATTATGGCCATCATGTCAATTATTATTTGATAAATTGGTCGATCAAGAACGTATTGAAGGATAAGGGGCGATATATCATAATTGATGAAAACACCAGGCAATTTATCGGATGATTCATCACGATATCTATCATAACTTGTTACAGAAAGACTGTATTGAGTATCATAATCGTTAAGAATACGTGTAGCTCTAATGTAATACATTGCTTTATATCTTCCGTATTCTTTTTGAACTTTCATATAATTTTGTAAAATTTGCGCAGGATGATAGCCTCCTCCCATCGAAAAGAAGTCAAATGAGTGTGTAAAGTTCAGATTTTCCTTAGGAACTCCTAAATAGTCTGCTGATGTATTAGTTGTGTTTTGGCCAATAGTAATGAAAAAACTGCCATGAGTATGAGGGACAGTCAGTGTAATGCCAAGAGTACAACTATCATTTATGAGTGAATCTGCATCAGAAAACGTATTCCTGCATTGTTGAATCATGGCCGTTGGAGGATGACTTTTTTCAATTTTTTGGAAAGCGTCTAATACTTCTTTACATGAATTGCAGCATCCATTTGATGCTCCATAGCATGATCCGCATTCTGTTGTTTTGATATTTGAAGCTCTTAAAAATTTTATCATCGATAATGGATCACTTTGATAATTTGTAGCTATTTTTGCTTCTTGCTGTATGTCTTTGTTATGATCGTATACATTTACAGTAAGGTATTGGCATGATAAACTTGGAAACGTGATTGATAAAGTAATTGGAAGAGTGGGGATCTTCTTCCAGTCTAATATTTTGTTATTTTCTGGTAGTCTTGTTTCATCAACGTATATTTTTTGCTTGAATGGTGTTTTAATAAAAATATAGATATCATAAATTAAAAATATCGCAATAAGAAAGATACAAATTAGAGAAACAATCCCACTGAATGTAGATTTCCTCGAATAATCGCCTGAAATTTTGGGAAAGATATCAAACTTCTTCATTAAATTTTACAAATAAAAAAAATGCTTGATTTATTCGGAAAACTCACAGTATTTAACTTGACTTAAAGCATCATTAAGATCTGACCATTTTATTTTGTCTAAAAAGAGAATTTGGAAAAAACCTGAATAAAAAATCAAATTATGGATATTTTTACTCAGAAATAGCTTTCATAAGCGACGGTAGTTTTGTTTTCTACTTCTCCTTAAATGATACGATTTTTTTTTCTCTTTGTTGAATTATCGTCGGAATAAACTTTTTTTATTTTTCTTTGTAAAGTTCGCAATTTCACCTCATAGTTGAAAAATATGTCGCTCAAATTCACTGTCATTTCGGCCAACAATGTGCCCATTGCAGACCTGAAGACTTCAGATCCATATGTCAAGCTTTACGTTGATGGACCGATTAAGGTTTATCTTTGCAAGACATCAACAATCAAAAGCAATCTAAATCCGAAGTGGAACGAAACATTCCTTATTAACACAGTTCGTGGAGCTCGTATTTATCTTGACGTTTACGATGAAAGTTTAGGCAATGATACTCAAATTGCACATACCGCTTTTGATCCTATGATTCATCCATTTGAGCAGAAGTAAAATTCCTCTTATTCCAGATATTAACAAAGGTGGCGAAAACTGCAGTATTAAGGTCTTTGCTTCCTTCAAAGAAACAAATCCTCCACCAAATTCAACATCAACAGCATTTCAGAATCCACATTATATCACATTCGAACCAGATGAACCCGTTGTTCTTCGTCCACCACTGATTGAATCACGTGCAAACGCTTTGCCATATCCGATACCATTCCAACTATCAGCGATCTTATACAATAAAGGCGACAACTCCACCACGATCGTCGATGCAGATAATAGAAGCGAGAATGGCGTCAGCCACTCAGGACATCACCCAGTTTTGTCATTCAAAACATTTACGCAGTCAATACGTATTGATCCATCGCTCCTCATAAAGAAAGGCGTTTCTCAGATATTTATTGCAATCAATACTCAAGATATTACGACATTACAATCCTTATGCAAGAATGGCGGCTTCCTTACGATCTGGGATTCCTTTGAGAAAGGAAACAACTACAAGAAAGGCTCGCCGTATCGTTTCGATATCAAAACTCGTAAAAAAGAGGTTTTATTAACTCCTGTACAACGCATTAAAGTTAATTTCGAACCAAGCGCCGTATTTACAGTCGTTGCCAATGCTGTCGTATCTACCGCCGCAATCCGCTACAATCCAGGCTTTGTTTTCCTTCCAAATTCAAATGCTGACGGTTTTATCACTCCACAGTCTCCACATGCCGCCGTAAGACATGTTTTACAATACGAAGCAGGTGTAGCAGCTGCCCTGACCCAGTTACCACATTCTCTTCCAATATGCGCACCAACACCGTTAAGTACTGTTTTTACACAGTATTTCGGAATCACTAGTGGCTCGGAGCATTCAATTCTTCGCGTTAAAGTCACCGGAAACAAGGACCACCAGTTGTACATCGCTGCATTTCGAACAGATCTTTCAATTGCGGACTGCATCACAGATAAGAAGGCAAATCTCTGTGAGAACGCAATTGTTAATGTTCTTTCTCCAAATGTCTTCCTTGACAGAGTTCCTGATGACGTTTCCTTCATCTGTTTCTGCCTTTGCGGAGATAAACCATTGGCATACAACCAATCAAAGGAATTCCTCAAGGTAAAGATACCAACAAAAGAAGTTCCACAGCCACAGTGCGTTTTGGGATTGATGGGAGGAACAGATATCCAGAATTTCCCTGTTCCTGCTTCTAAAACAAGGACTTCTTTCATGTGGTTTATCTTGTTTAGAGAACCATTTGGAGGATGGGCATTCCTTTCTTTGAGATTGCCTGTCGAAGCAAGAAATGCGGCGGAATGCGTGGAATGCATGAAGAGAGTCATCGTTAAGAAACTTAAGTAATTTTTAATATCTCTTCTTCATCTCTTTTTTATATTTTACTTTCTCTATATTTTTAATTTTTTTACTAAAAAAAATAAATTCAAAGTTATTTTAATACCTTTATAATGTTGAAATTAAACACAGAAGAATGTTAGACGACAGAAAACTTATACTAAACATGATTTTCTTCTTATCATTTTTGCTAATTGAGACTTCATGTACATTTGTATTTTGTGGTATTTGAATTTCATTTTTTCACGAAAACATATATGATAGCATTCAGTGTAATTATACAAGTTATACTCATATATCTATAGGTACATATTTCACTAGGATTTTTTAAATGAATCTTTTTAGATGAGGAGATAAAATCATTTAAACTATCATGTATTTTATGAAAACAATCAAAGCACATGTGATATTAATATGGAGTCTTGAACTCTTCTTACAATAATATTATTTACATAGATATGCAGAATAATGTAATGCTTGAAATTGATAGTATAGATTGTAATTAATTTTGTTTATTTTAATTTGATTTTTCTTTCAATGATATAATGACAATCTAAGAGGTAACTTTCTTAACTATTTCTAAGATAATAATTTTAAATTTGAAATATCTTTATCATTAACATAATCAAATAGAAATATTCTCTAAAAAACATATAATAACCTTGTTAACTATCATTCTTTTAAGACTTAACTATCAAATATTATTGGATGCGCATTAAACGATCAGAGAATTTAGGAATCAGAAGTTGGATTTCTGATCTTTTTTTTACGACTCTATTTATAATATCTCCTTCATAGAGACAAAACCTATCAATGAATTCGATATTAACATCCGTCACTTTATCGATGCTAACTTCATGAAATGAAATGAAACAATAAAAAATGTAAAGTCAAATTTTGAGAGTGAACATCGGCTATCATCTAAAAAGTGACAAAAATCTATTTTTTTAATTTTTTCAACTTTGCAAGCTCAATTACCATGGACACAGATTTATTTGAAGTAGAGGACATGATATGGAGCTGTACAAATGAGAACATGGAAACTTGTCTTGAGAAAATTCAAAATTTATTAATAAAAAACCAGGGAATGCAGATATAGTATATGTATACTGCATTTCAAGCATCAATATATCGTCCCAAAATACTTTTGAACCTTTCCACGATCGTTCAACTTGCATTAGAAAAGAGAATTTATACCCATGAATCAAGTAAGACCCCATTGAACTCTATTCTTATTAAGCGCAATATTATCAAATCCAAAGATTCCCAAAACAAGACATTAGAAGAAATACTCGAGCTTTATCCCCCAAATTCAGTTCAACACGCACTTTTATGGGATAATGTCTCAGAAATCTCAGCAAAGATGATAGACAAATACATTAAATCCAAAGAATTAATTTCCCTGGACCCACTCTTCCAAGGTGTATTTTCCATTGTGAATGTAGCTGCTTATCTCGGTGCCGTGAACATTTTTAATTTATTGTTGACATATAAAGTTAAAGTTGACGATAGTACAGCGACGAATGCCATTTTGTGGTGGGAATAATGACATCATAAATCAATGCAAAGATGTTATAGTATACAATGAAGATAAATTACATTACGCGATGATGCATTACAGAACAGAAATGGTTGATTTAATTTCCCAGAAAATTGGCAAAAAACCTTTATTAACTGATACAATCAGATACCACAATACGAAGCTGTTTTACGACTTGATACAAGAAGGTGCTGATGTCAATGCACATAATAGTGATGAAAAACCACCAATCATTCTTGCAGCAAGTGGGTACAATGAAGATATTGTTAGAGTACTTATAGAAAAAGGTGCCAATGTAAATGAAAGGACAAAAAATAATTTGACACCAATTTTCTTTGCAGCAAAGAATGGATGCACACCAATTTTCAAGTTGCTACTGGATGCTGGAGCAGATATTAATGCTATCGATACAAGTGGAAGAGATGTAATGCTTCCGGCAATTTCAAGTGTTAAATCAGAATTAATTTATTTTATTTTAGAAAACGGTTATGACATGTCAAGAAATCAATACCAAAATCTCAAATTACTGGTATTATATGACCTCTTGACATTATGAAAGCATTTCTACAGAAAGGAGCTTACAAGAGATGGCACAAACATGATGGTTTGATGGAATGCATTTTGAGAAAACAAAACATCGAAATGTTTAAATTGGTAGCTGAATTTGGAGTCGGAATTCAAAGTTTTGATTCTTCAAAAATGAATTTACTGATGATGGCTGCTAGTTTAGGCAATATTGATGCCTGCAAGTACCTCTTAGATAACAATGTTGATGTAAATGCAATTGACTTAAGAGGAAAAACTGCACTTCATTTTGCGGTCAAATATCCCACAATCATCAAATTATTAATTTCAAAAGAGGCAAAAATTGATGCTAAATGCTCTTTCGGTCTACTCCATTGATAGATGCTACAAAAATCAGTAATGCTCATTCTGTTCACATTCTTCTCAAAAATGGAGCTGATCCAAATATCAGAGACTCCTCTTCAAACTTTCCACTTTCTTACGCAATTATGTCTTATTCATTGGATGTTATGACCGAATTAGCAGCTTATAATCCAGACATACAACTAACAGATTCAACTGGAAGAAATGCTGCAAAAATTATACATCAAACGTGGACAAAAGAACTCGCAAGGCCTGTTTTAGATATATTAGAATCAATAAAGAAATAAAGTATTATTTGTTATTTATTAAATCATATTATTCTTAGAACAAATTTTGGGAATCTACATTTTATAATTACTTTATCTTTAGTTTTAATATCGGCTTCACAAATGAAGGAATAGCCATTTGCTTTGCCGGATTTTTAGCATTGGAAAACATTTTTGAAAAAGAATCAGAAAAAATGTAATTTCAAAATTATTAGAAATGGTCGCAGACATATTCATTTAAAGGGATCAGAATTATCTCCACGCATGTAGCAATTGTCAAAAATCAGGATCTAATGCCTGAAGAATGTATTTGCATATGCCCCTGATTTTTAAGTAACTAGACCCTGATGTATTTATTAATTTTATAGAGAATGGAAGAATTTCAACTTGAAGAGTTATTGAAATGGATTGATGATATTCCTCTATCATGGAAGAAAAAGAATCTTTCAAGAGACTTCAGTGATGGCGTTTTAATGGCTGAAATTTGCGCACATTTTTATCCGAAAGCAGTTGATCTATTTAATTATAATGAAGGACTAAAAGTTGACACTAAAATATATAATTGGAATACACTCAATGCAAAGGTATTACGAAAAATCAAATTTCCAATAGATAAAGGAACAATTACTGATATTGCAAATTGCAAGCAAGGAACAATCGAAAAAGTTCTTTGGGATTTCAAACACTTTGTTGAAAACAAGCAAGAAGAAGCTCAAAAACCATATTTCGACGATATTCAAACAGATCCTGATATTGAAGAGATAGAGAATGCATTGAAAGCAACAGATAGAAGCTTACTCGAAAATAAAATCAAAGAATGCGAAGAACAAGCTAAATATATTGAAGAATTACATTCAAAAATTAAAATTGTTAAAAACTTGATCAAGGAAAAGGATTTGTATCTATCTCAATTACACTCATCAGGTCTTATTAGATAAGATCAATGATTCCAAATTATATTTTTATAAATTTTTATATAAGATGTTTTTCATTATAAATATTATTGTTTGTTATTTTTATATCAGCTGGAGCTATTTGGAATCTACTTTGAAGAAAAATTAATGAAAATTAAACGAATAACAGTTTTTTTAGAATTAAAAACAATTTATAGAATGAAATAGAAGAACAACGCGACGAACCCCGCCAGAACATTATACCAATTAATCTTCTTTGGCGAGAAAATTACAATTAATATGGAAATAATCAAAGTTAATATGACAATAACGTAAGATTGATGTTTCCTCCATTGTCCTTCGAACAACCTTCCTTAAATTCTGTGTTTGTAATCTTAGATTTAATGAAAAAGTAAACCATCTTGATATGACGAGCAACAGCAGCTTCAATGAACTCCCTATCCCATGTTTCCTTGATCCAGTCAAGAGAGTAAGCGTATCTGAACATATATTCCTTATCTGTTTTCTTGAAATAGAATGGAACAGGTATATGAAGAAATCCTTGAAGAGCTGAGCGCGAGTAAGACATGAATAATTCAAGGGTGAACGTATCTCCTGATTTCATAAGAGTATAAGTTGATTGAACGAGAACAGATTGGAAAAGAGGCTGCTTAAACTGGATTAAACGTGAAATACCATCTTTTGTCTTGTTCCATTTACCAATAACGACATCAGAACACTCACAGACCTTAAAGAATTCCGACCATAATTCTGAACTCTTAACAAGCTTCATAATATCAGCGATGTTACCTGGTATTTGCTCTTCGTATGTATGAGGAGCTCTCAGTAGTGTAAGCTTACGCATAACTTCGGTTTCATCACGATGAATAAGTCCGAATGATGGTTTTTCAGATTTAACTGCATCAGTAAGAAGAAGTACATAGGACCAAAATATATCTCTATCCTTCATTTGTGTAATCATGATCGTCTTTTCATTTTGAAGTTGTAATTGAACTCCTTTTTCCAAAGATCTACGAGTTGCTTGTGTCATTTTCAGAATACCTTGCCAGGGGATAAGCGCTAACCACATGTTTTTCGATGCTTTGGGTACAAACATCAGTTTACTATGAGTAAATTGGCACTCGCCTGCACAGAGTTCTTTTCACCGAATATCGTGCAGGTAGTCTTGTAGATGACATTTTCATAATTTGTTTGATGAATTACATTCTTCTTAGTAAAATCAGCGAGTTCCGCAATTTCACTCATTATATTTTTTACAGTATTTTTTTTTGCTATTTCAATTTTTCAAATTTTGAGAAGGCACTGTAAATGTTTATCTTATTAATATATATAAACTTTCGAAAAAGATTATTTGTCAAAAAAGTGATGCAAATTCAAGTAAAGTCGAACATTATCAATTCAATCGCTTCCGAAAAGTTGATTTTGGATCTGGGAGATTATAAAACCATTCTATTCAAGTCATATATTACAATGCGTGCATATTTATCTTCTAATTTCTTGAAGGCTCGCATCCCAAATTGACGAACGTAATAAATCAACTAAAGGTAGTACAACACATTAATATTAGAAAGGCAAATAGGTTCTGGATGAGTGATCTGTTATAAATAAGAAAGATTTTGCAAAAAATCTAGAGAATGTATATCTATTTGATAATATATCATAAAAACACACATTATTCAATATCTCTTTCTATGGTGAGGATTTTGACATAGAATCATGTGCTTGAATTGAATGGTGAGATTTCAACTATTTTGATTGCAAAGATTAATGTGATATTTTGAAGTAATGCTAAACTGTTTAGTTAAAAGAAGATCTGAAGAGATTGTTAAAGAATTTTCACAAAATATCCCACGATAGGCCATCTCCAGAATTAAACAAGCTATCCATACAAATTTTATAACTACTGCCGGGATTAAATTAGAATCATATCATACCTTATTTCATTGGGATCAAATTAAGGGAAATGATATTGTACTGAATATAGATATGATATAGATCAAAGGAGTTATTATTCTTCTCAATTTATCCAATGAAATGGCCATTTTCAGATAAAATGACAGCCAAACATATTAAAATCCAGCCAAGATTCTTCGTTTAATACAATCTACATAAGTGCTAATGCACATTATCCATTAAAAATGGAACTTTAAATTGACATAATTTTGAGGCAATGAAATTGAAAAATAAAAAATTTGATGTGTCTAATCACCCACCCGGCGCACCAGGATTCGTTCCTCCAAGAACAAACATTCCCCCACCAGTGAAACCCATCGTTCCACCGACCGGATTTGCTCCTCCAAACATTCCACAGATTAACAGACCTCAATCACCAGGTGCTGCACAGCCACCAGTCAACATTACTCCACCGAAAATAACACCAATCGTCGCCTCACCACCACCTGCAACACCAGCAGCTCCAGAGCCAGCTCCAGCTCCAGCAGTATCTACTCCTGCTGCTGCTCCACCAGTTTCAGCATCTCCACCACCACAACAGGTACCACCAAAGCGCGAAAACTCCACCGCCTGCCGCCAAGACAGCTCCTTCTAGTTCTGCCAACTACAATGAACAACCATCATCTGATTCAAAGAAAGAAATTCCGCCACAAGCTGAGCTTAAATACAATCCTCCTCCAACACCAGAGGAGAATCCCGAAATTAAATCTCTCCCAGCCGAGAATTTCACAAATACTCAAATGTCAGGTGATGTTCCACATGACATTCTCGTTGAAATCGAGGTTCCACAGGTTACAGCACCACCAGAGGGCACACCAGGGCACAAATTATGAAATCTATCAACTCCATCATTGATCAGGCTAATGAAGGCGATTCTATCGTCATTCCAGAAGGTGTTTACGAGGAATCCCTTACAATTACAAAGAAAGTCCATCTCTTTGGTGAAGGAAACTGCGAATTGTATCAGATTGGTGCAAGGATACAATTCTATCAAGCAGAAGGCGCAACATTCACAAATATCACATTCCTTTCAGCACGAATCACAAGCCTCTCGTGCTCTCAACGCTAATGCTGGCTCTGTTTACTTCAAGAACTGCAATTTCTCTGCCAAGTTCATGTCAACAGCAAACTTAGTCGGCAATTCTCAGGCTACATTCGATGGCTGCACATTCGAAGGCCAGTCATCATCAATCGTTAACCTTGGCGGAAATTCCGTTTCACAGTTCCTTGGCTGCACATTCAAGGGTGCTGGAAACAACGGACTTATTGTTAAGGCTCGCGCTGCTACAACAATCAAGGATTCAAACTTCCAAGATATCCGTAAAGACGCCGTTCATCTTATTGACAACTGCTCTGCCGTTTTCAAGAGCGTTAAGGTCAACAACGTCGGTGCACATGGCTTCCTCATCTCATCAGAGTCAAAGCGCATTTCACTCATCGATTGCGAGATTACAGATTGCCGCGAAACAGGCATTTCCGCATTCCTTGCTTCCTCTCTTACACTCCACAGGAATACAATCAAGAAGTGCAAGACATGCCTCGAAGTTTCTGATGGTTCTTCCATCTTAATGAAATCCAATCGTTTCATGGATACATACTCTGATGCCATGGTTATCTGCTTCTGCCATGCCAACGTTCTCTCACAGGAGGACACATTCTCTGGCATCGGAAACGGTCTTTGCGCCATGGAAAGATCAAGAGTCACTGTCCAAGGCGGCAAATTCGAGAACCTTGAAGGCACAGGAGCCATCGTATTCGGAAACGAAGCATTCCTTTCCATTTCTTCCTCCAACTTCAGGAACATCAAGTACAGCGGCTTGCAAGTCCATACAGGCGGCTCATTGACAGTCAACAGCTGCACAATGACAAACTGCACAGACAGTGGTTTGTTCGTTGATGGCGACTGCAACGCAAGAGTCGAAGGCCTCCAAGTAACAAACGGCCAGAAAGTTGGTGTTCTTGTCAGGAATTCCGGCGCATTCCTTAAGGAACTCGATCTCAAGTCCAACTACCAGTACGGTTTGTTGTTGAATAACGCAAGAAAGGTTGATTGCCAGCAGTCATCATTCTCACAGAACAGAGCTAGTGGCATCATCATTAAGAACTCTGAGAAGATCACATTCAACAACATCAATTCCTGCGAGAACAACTACCATGGTATTGAATTCCACAACTCATTTGTTTCTGTAAGAGGTGGTGAGATCAAATCAAACAAAGTCTGCGGCTTAGTCATCGCTGAGAAATCCGATGTTTCCGCAAACGATCTCACAATCTCTAACTCCGAATACGGTGTTCACATTACAGAAGCAACAGGAGATGTCCGTGGAACAACAATTTCCGATTGCAAGCTTGGTATTTACTCAACAAAGGCAATTGCTTCTGTCGCAACAACATCATTCAAGAAGTGCGAAATTGGCTTCTCAGTCACAGGAAAGGACTGCAAGTCTGGCGCAAAGAACTGCCAGTTCGAAGAGAACACAATCCATCTCCAGTGCGAGAAAGACTCAACATTGTTCGTTAAGGAGTGCGAACTCAAGAACTCTAAGTCTGTCGCCATCAAATCTTCTGAAGGATACAACTGTGAAATCACTGGATCTCATTTCTCAAATGGTACATGCGCTGTTTGGGCTGACACTAAATTACACGTTGTCAACAACACAATTGATGACTTCTCAGAGGTAGGCTTGTACATTTGCGGAGGAACTGGTGACATCATGAGCAACAAGATCAACAAACAATGGCGGAGTCGGTATCGACGTAGTTAGCGGTGATCATAAGATTACAAAGAATGAAATCATCGGACATAAGTACTATGGTATCCACATAGATTTGGATGCTTCCCCTGCAGTTTCTAATAACACATTCTCTGATAACGAATTAGGAAATGTTAGCCGCGAATGATGACTTTCGCTATTTTATTTTATTTTTTTAGTAAAAAAATTTCTAATTTAAATCTAACTATTTTGATTTAATCTACATAACCTTCATCCTCTTAGCAATTAAATAGATTAAATATCTCAGACTCATTGCTTTAGTTTTTGATTGATCTTTGTATCACATTTTACTCTTAAACAAACAGTGAATTATAAGAGTCATCAGTAATTAATTTATAATATTACCAATAAATACTGGGAATTAACAAAATCATATACAGAAATTCATAAAAATTTCAACCATCAATTAATTAAGAGTTTTATATTCTCCATGATTTCTATGTGTGATATTTTGAACACTTTTGATTATTTTTTAATTTAAAATTTTGCCAATTTGCAACATTTTATTTTCATACAAAATTTGAAGACAGGCCAGTAAACTATAAAATACTCGTATAAATTAACTATCAGATTTTACATCCTTCTCAACTTTTCAATGAGTTTTACAAGTCATTCAAAATGTTGATATTTAAAATAAAGTTTTGATTTTTTGATAAATTAGCTCAATAAGAGCGAGAATTCGAATAATCGAATTCTTGACAAATTTGAATTGAAAATCAATTTATGATTTTGCTGAATTTTTATTGTGTTCTAGGTTTTGGATTGAGTTATATGGGTGACATTCAAGAACTGTCAATCAGTAGTCCAAAAATTGTCCAAAGAACTGATTTTATTGGATACAGATATCGAGTTAAAAATATAAAAATTAAAAAAGATGTCAAACGCATCGAAAGTTATGCATTCCAAGGATTCACAAAACCAGAAACAATTTATATATCAGAATTCTTAGAATATTTCAGTAGCTCTGCAACATTGAATTGTGAAAACTTGCAATCCATCACAGTATCGCAAAATTAACCCTAACTTTTATAATGATTCTGATATGAACTTGTATTCTAAGAACACAACATATTGATTAGAGTTATGCCAAAGAAAACAACCTCAGCTAAAATGCAAATTTTCACGATTCCTTCAACTGTAACTACTATTGAACAATTTGCCTTTGCAAATACAGATATGTTTGTGTAAATTTCGAACGAACTTCAAATATTTCAACACTTGAATTTTTATCTTTTTCATTGAGTGGTCTTTATACAATTACGATTCCATCCAACAGTAACATCGATACAGAATCAGTCATTTTATAAATGCCAAAATTACAGAGCGTTATTTTGGAGAAAACACAAATACGCAAAAATATATCGGATATGAATCATTCTCATATACTTCAATTTCTGAATTTCTTTTTCCATATAATTGTATTGTTGATAATGATGTTTTTAGTCATTGTCAATCCTTGACTTTCATAGGAATCCTTGACTCATCCACTTCCATCTCAATCAACACATTCAGTGGATGTTTGAGCATCGAATCGATTTCATTAAATTCAAAAAAATATGTTATAGAAAATTCTTTTCTGTATAGCAATGATTTTACTGAATTATATTACATTATACAGCAACATAGTGGTATAGATTATTATAGGCGTTTGCCAAATATTAATAATATGTGTGAAACTGCATTTCTGAATCATAGCATAAATACACTTACTCGTGTAGATTCTATTCCAACGAACGGAAAATATTCGATTGTAAATGGAATAGTATATGATACTCGAAATAATTATGCCATTAGCTCTTTGAATGGAATAAGTAGGGTAACTATTAAACAAGGTACAGTGAAGATATGCAAAAGGTGCTTTTTTAATCAAAATATTCAAAGTTTTCAAATTCTTGATCATAATTCCTTAACGATGATAGAATCAGAAGCATTTTATGGATGTAAAATTAAACTCAAGTTTGTATTTTAATGGTCAAGTTATGATAATCGAAAAATATACTTTTCAAAATTCTGAAATTAACTTAATAATAATTTCGGCTTCAGAAAAATTAGTTCTTATGGAATCGGCATTTGAAAGAGCAAACATCTCGAATTATATTTCAATTAATCATAATTTGAGTTACATTGGAAAATGTTGTTTTTATAATTCGACAATTACAAATATATACTTTTATAATGTCCAAAATATATCAGAAATTGAAGATGAGACATTTGCCAATTGCACAATTTCGTCAATCATTTTACCAACTTCAATAGAAAAAATCGGAATTTCTGCATTTGAAAATTGCCGCATTTTGCAATATATTACTCAATCTCAAACAAGACAAGATACTGCTTCAAAAAGTTCAATTTATTATGCATATATATCTCTGAATTATATCAGAAAATTTGAAGCATTTTCATTTAACAATTGCACATTAATATATAGTATTTTTATAGGTTATGTTAATGAAGTTGAGTTTATTGGTCCTGGAGCATTTTCTAACATATCTAGTTTGATAACAGTTTCAATTGGGAATACATCTGACAATGTCCTTAATAATGAAACATTCTATGAAATCAATCTCTCCCAATATTTCATATCTCCAAATAATAAATATTATTCATCATATTATGCATCAAATTAGCATTATATATTAATAAAAAACTTTTCCATTCTGCTATGGAGTGTTCCATCGATTCCAATTCTTTATCTCAAAAGAGAAACCATAATAATTGCTGATTATGCATTTTACTTTAGACGATCACTCAGTAGTATAAGTTTTACTCAAGAAAATTCTCTAGAATATATATGAAATTACGCATTTTCATTTACAAGTATTACATCATTAGATTATTTGCATAATTTGAAATCAATTGGAGATTATGCATTTAATTCGTCTGGTCTGATGCATGTTACATTACCAACTAATCTAAAATATATTGGGAATATGAGTTTTGCATATATATCCTATCAAATATATCAATTTCCAAGAAAATTGTGAATTTATTGGAGATGAAGCTTTTTTCCCACATAATTATTAATCATGCTATCTTCGAACATAACTTAATATTTTGAATTTAATAAAGGATTATTTCCTCATGCAAAAACTCGAAAATGTATCTCTTCCAAAAGATTTAATATTTATTGGGGATGAAACTTTCAAAGAATGCCAACAATTGAAAATCATTTACATCCCTTCAACATGCAAAGCCATTGGACAAGGAACATTTGAAAGCAGTGGAATTCAAGAACTTGTTTTTGCCGAAAACTCCAATTTAGAATTAATTGATAGGAAAGGATTTTATCGATGTACCATATTAAATACTATTAATATTCCTGCAAAATGCAAATATTTAGAATTCCAATCATTTTATGGTTGCAGTATTCCTTCTATTATATTTGATAAAGGTTCAGAGTTGTTAACAATTGGAGACCAATCATTTTTCCAATCGAACTTAAGAAGTATTGCCATTCGATCATCATGTAATATGGTTGGGTCTCGAGCATTTTCGGCATTTACATTATATTCAATTGAGTTTGAACAAAATTCTCGAGTTCAGTCAATCGAAAATTTCACATTTTCCAATAGTATCATAGAAAAAATAAAAATACCATCTAGTTGTAAATAAGGTCGCCAAAAAAAGTGCGGAAATTAAAAACTTCAGTTTGAGTACTTTCTGAGAGTCTGTTTGTCAGAAAAGTATACATTTGTAAACTTTCTGACACTAAAATTTTTTGGTCCTTTCAAAGTTCTTGACAATGTCAAAAAGTATACATCGGGGCTCTCAATTTCCTCTCAAAACCGAGTGGTTTTTTTAAAAACGCTCATTTTTTCATCGACCTTATATGTTGAAAAAAAAATCAACGTCGTTTATGCATTTATGTATTGCTTTCAATTAACTGAAGTTATTTTTGAGAGAGATTCAAATATTTCTTACATCGATTCTACAGCATTTGATATATGCCCAAAATTAGAAACATTTATGATACCAGACTCATTTCATACAATTTCAGGTGTACTGAGTAATATCCCCAAAACAATAAAAAAGATAATACTTCCTGGGACAACCATTGAGACAATTCCTCGACATTGTTTTATTCAATTTGTAAACCTTGAATCAATTGAGGCAAATGAATACACATATATAAAGAACACAGAATATTATGCTTTTTCGACTATTAAAAATCTTAAAACAGTGAATTTAAATTGTTCTGTTTATCTCAATGATTACTCATTTTATAACTGTCAAAACTTGCTGAATGTTTACATTAAAGAAATTAGGTATTTTGGTATTCTTTCTTTCAATAAATGTCCATCACTTAAAAATGTTACAATAATAGATTACAATGGAACAATCCCAGATTATTGTTTTGAATATTGCCAAAGATTAATTAATTTCAATTCAAATGTTGCTATAAAAATTGTTGGAAATTATTCATTCGCACATTGCAGTCTTTTGGAATTAGATTTATCATCATTGAAAACTGTAAATCACAGTGGATTTTTGAACTCAAGAATCATCAATTTTCCTGAAAATATTGAGTATATTGGCGAAAATGCATTCAATCAGTGCACTTTTGTCAATCCAAATATTTCATTTTCAAATAAATTGTCTGAGATCAGTCCTGGCGCATTTACTGAAACAAATGGGCTCAAGCAAGTTAAATATTGTGGAAGAAAAGATTTTAATGTTGTTGGAAGTGTATTTTCCTCGGGAATTACGATATATGTTTCGCATCTTTATCCAGGATCAAAATTTTATGGGGTAATAGTAACAAAAGGGAATAGTGGTATATCGTGTGACATACCACCGCGAACTTTAGACACAAACATCTATGCAAAAGGTCTTGGACCTACAAAATTCCGTCTATTAAGACGTCATTAATTATTTGTTTGTATAAAAATGATTATTATATGTTAACTATATCCTTTTATAAATGTGATGTCCACTCATTTCTTTTTTGTTGTGGAGTCCATGGATATAAGTAATATATAAGATTAAATGTAGCTTATATCGTTCGTATTTAGTATTTAATAGTTCTAAGAATAATTTCTATTTTCTTATTGCTCGTGATGAAGTTTTATTCCTTCTATTGATTGATGATTATTCTCCTCACATATGATTATTTATATTTATATTAACTTAAATTTGGTAATGATTATATGGATATTATAGGTTTAGAAAAGTAAATAAGTAGTATTTAAAAATTATGTACTAGAGTAGTTTAAATAAACAATTCAAACATTATAAATAAAGATTGGTAATTGGAGGTTTCATCTTCATACAGAAAATAAGTATAAAGTATAAACCAACAGCAGAAGCAAAAAGAATCGACATCAAACCAATATAAAACATATCCCAAAAAGCAGCGACAATTTTTGCATGAAATTAAGGCGTTGGACGTCTGGACATTGGGAGTGGCTATACATCATTACATCAACGGTAAATCAATTCAATGACCTGCGGAAGAGGGAATTCGTAATTAAGAACGCTTTTTAGTGGAAAAATTCCAGATTTTACTGGAAGAATAATCGTAAATGGCTTGAAAAACCAGCTTTGTAGGTTGGGCTTATCAGTAATTGGCTGGAAAGCCAAAGATACTGTTTAGCTAGCGTATCTTTCTCACAGGAGTTGACCCAGAGTATGTTTTCTACCAGAGGAGAAATAGAATGTATGAGCTCCAGTTAAAGAATGCTATGGAACTCAGAAGGAAACGTAAGAGACTAGGTGGACATTAGATTTTTACATATAGTAAAATGGGTTTCTTTGGAAGAATAGGAAACTTCTTTCGAAATGTTGGAAGAGGTATATGGAATGGAATAAAAACCGTAGGAAGAGGAATTTGGAACGGTGTCAAAAATATTGGTAAAAGAGTAGGTCAGTTCGTTGGTATTATACCTAAAGACCCTGAACCAGAAGAACAAGCTCCTGTTATACAACAGCCTGAACCTGCACCACAGTCTAGTTGGCAACCAAATCCAACACCTCAACCGTATTAAAATTATATTTTTACCGTTCGATAGTAGTTGTATATGAAACTAAGTTCTAAGTAAAACGCGTGGTATAATGGAATTATTTCTCTTTCTTCCATCTGTAGTAAACCATACTTGAAAGTCTGAAATACTTCCACTTGGTGGTTCATATAGCTTTGTAGGTTTTTCGTAAAAGTCATTTGCCAAGCATAAAAAAGAGTTTTGTGCACCAGAAAATGAAGCATGAACGATAATAGCATCTGAGTCGAAAACATTTTCATATGTTCCATTAGGGTTTTCGACTTCATAAAAGTTCGGGTGTACTGGATATTCTGCAGGCTGATTTAACATCCTCAAAAATCTATACCATGCCAAGTTGTTATATTTTGTAGAAATATATAAACGTCTTCTCCAAGGTCTTCTATTCTATTGATTTTAACAGTTGCATTTTTCCTGTCATATAAAATATCGAGATGGTACTCTCCTTCGTCAATGTTGTACTGTTTTGCATATTCGAGATAGATATCGTTTATTTTTTCTTGAAAAGCTTGAAGAGTTGTTTCTAAGTTTACAAGCAAACTAACTTGTAAAAGTTTTCCCTGTTCAAATTTCTCATACGTACGTTTCTCTTTGTTATAGTATCGAACTTCAAAACCGACCGTAAATGGGAAACCATGTATGGCTTCTGAAATGAACTTCATTCTACGAAAGCCAATAGCTTTTGTGACAGATGGGTCTCTTAACCATCTTAACGGGTAGTCAAAACGATAGCCTTCATGCTTTACGGTCTCTGTCTCAAACTTTTGACCGACATTCGTAAAAAGTTCATCTAATGGTTTAGTTGTAGCAACTCTTGAATTTTCTTTTTCTATTGGAAGCATATTTTATCTAGAATAAAAATGTCGAAAGATATTGCTTCCATAAGAGAAATACAACACAACCGACAACTCATTATGCAAGCTCTAAATAAGAACACAACAAACTTTTCAAACTATTCTAAGATATCTGAGTCATTGAAAGAAGGAAACTTAAAACTGACATTAAACCCAATGACAGATGAGTTTCTGTTTCAAGACAGTAAGAACCATACTGTTTGTATAAATCCAACAAAAAGAACTTTAAACGAGAAACCTATAGATGAACTTCTTTTGAAAGCAGATGTTGAAAAGAAAGCTGACAAAGAGTATGTCATTGAAAAAGTTCAAGAAGAACATGACAGAGCAGATGCAACATATGCAACAAAAGAGGATGTTGAAAAGAAAGCTGACAAAACATATGTTAACGATGAGTTAGCATGCGTGGCTAGTGCGTTAGTGAAGAAGGCAGATAAGGAATATGTGGATGAAAAAGACAATGAAATTAAAGAAAGGGTTGAATGGTATAATGAACGGACATCGAAGATTTTAGAAGGTAAAGCCAATACAGGGTGGGTTTCAGGATGTTTAGACCTTAAAGCCGACAAAGAAACTGTAGATATGTTGACACAAACGGTTTCAAGTCATACCAGAGTTTAATGGAAGATGGACAACAGTTGAAAGAGCTTGAGAAAGGTGTTACAGAGTTAAGGAATACAAAAGCAGACTCGACATGGATAGCTGGATATGTAGATGCAACAAAAGAACGTATTTTAGCATGGACAGAAGGAACATACCCACAAAAATATCATAGACATAGCATCTCTGACGTAAATGAACTTGAAGAAAAGTTATATAAAAAAGCAGACAAAACAGAGCTTCAAACATTAAAGACAGAAATACTTCAAACAGTATATCCTATAGGTTCTATTTATACGTCAATGAACTCTACCAGACCAGAAGTAGTACTTGGTCTCGGAACTTGGACTCAAATAGTCGACAGGTTTTTGTATTGTGCCAACTCTTCAAAGGAAACAGGTGGAAGTAAAACGATTTCAGGTGAAAATTTACCTGCACACAGTCACTACATAGATTTAAGTACATCTCAAGCAGGTTGGCATAAGCATAGATATTGGGATTGGTCAGGAATGACAAAAGGTAAAGGATATGATGTTAAAGACGAGGTTAAGTTTGCTATAAATTGTTACTGGAGTGACACTCAGGGAGATGGAAACCATACACATCGCGTTTCGGGATATACACAAACAACGGGACAAAGTAAAGATTACATGCCGCCATTATTGACAGTTTACGCATGGTATAGAATTGCTTAGTCGTCATTTTCAACTTCTTTAGCATATTCGTCAGGAGTTGTCTTATATTTGTTAGGAACTGTCTTTGAAAGTATACCACCTTGAACTTTGACAAGTTTGAAACGAGGTCTGACAATAGTTAGTTTTATCTTCTGCTTGCAGTCTGTACATTTTGCCATTTTGCCTAAAACTTCATAATATTCTCTTGTATACTTTCTTCTATTTTTACGAACACGAAGGTGAGTACCTGTCGAGTTCCCATTGTTGTCATAGTCAATAGTATTTTTCATATGGGTCGCGTTTAGGTATTTCTATTTTTACTTTGTCACCTTTCTTAAGTTTGAAGCCTGGCATTCTTTCTTGTTTGTCTCTTTTGACTAAACTATTAAATATATAGTCTTTCTCTAAGTCAGGGTTGTTTTTCATTTCTTCGGGGGAGTGGTTTCCCAAACCTTTTTGTTTACGGCTATTGTAAATATTTAAAACTTGTCTCATCTTTGCCATGGAGAAATGTCTATACTTGTCGTCATATGACATTTCATTTGCTTCACCACCTTGTGGTTGGTTTAAGTCTCTTAAGATTTTTATACAACTGTCAATGACACCAAGAGCAGAATGGTTTTGGTCGACAATGAAATATTGGTTTACATTTTTTGAACGCAGATAGTTTTTAATATCGTCTGATTTGAAAGAACTTTCACAGTCAGATGTCAGTTTTGTTGGATGGTATTTGTCAACGAATATTGTCAAAGCAGTTTTCACATCTAAAATATTTTTGGACCATAATGGTATGGCTTCACAGTATCTTGTGTTTTGACCAACAAATATTAGCCAGTATGGTGGTCCATCTTCTCTATACCTCGGAATGTTTTCCAAGATATCCATAAACCAAGCATTTGGTGTTGAACTAAAGATTTTTACCATGAGTGCTTTCTTTGTCGCTTTAGAAACATAGGGGTCCTTGTTTGGATTCGTCATTTTTTAACCCATAAGAAATGGGTTTATTTGGCGCATTAGCAGGAGTCGCATCTAGATTTTTACCCGCAGTGGAACAATAGCCAGAGGTGTATTTGGAGTTGGAAGGAAGATTTTGAGTACATTAGGTATACTTAAAGAGAAAGCACAACCTATTATACAAACTGTACAGAAAGGTTGGGATGTAGCACGAGATGCAGCAAATCTTATTCCAAATCCTGAAACAAGAGGAAAAGTTCAAGGATGGATGGACAATGTAGGAAGACAAGCAGGAAACTATTATAACAAAGCAAATGACTACTATAACCAAGCAGGACACTATATGGACCAAGGTGAAAGATTCTTTAACAGAGGATATAACCATGCACAACAGTGGGTAAACAATAACCAACCTCAACCGCCTCAAACTTGGGGAATGTAAATTTTTTTACTGAGATGAAATGAACAATACAGCATTGAGACAAATGGGTTCAAGATGGATTTGTCGACTTCCAGCAGTTACACAACGTGTTTGTCAAGTTCTTCCTATACCTCAGGAAGTTTTAGACCGACTTAAAAAACCTAAACAACCAGTTGAAAACAAACCAAACTAAAATTTTTTACTGAGATGAAATGACCGAAGAAGTTGAAACGGTAGATTTGACACCACAAACAAAAAGTTCAGAACCATTGTCAAAACCTGTCAAAGAACTTACAGATGAAGAGAAAAATTCAATAATAGAAAGTGCCAGGTCTGGAAATACAAACCCTAACTATAAAGTCACTTTTCA